GCAAACAATCGCTTCAAAAACTCGGTTATTAGCCCCAAAACATACCATTTATATTATTGGCCCGTGCATAGCACGATATGTGTCTGTATATATATATCTCACAAATGGAAAAGTCCCAATCAAGGAAGCAACATATATCATTTACAAATGACTTAAAAAGCTTTAAAATATTTAAAATAATACATATCATTTTAATATTACCAAAAAAGTATTATAAATAATAATAATTAACAACTTAAAATATCTTAAAGACATTTTAAAAGGGTTAATTTTGTAATTTTATCCATATCACATAAATTAGGACAAAGTGACCAGTAATGTACATTATTTCAAAGTTACATAAAAATATTATAAATCACAATAATTAATAACTTCAAACATTTAAAAAAAAAAACATGAAAATTTGGATGATTCTCCAAATTTCATTTGTGTCACATAAATTGAGACAACAAAAATAACATATATTGGGTCCATTTTAATTTATTTGTCTTATTTTTTTTATATTTAAAAATTGCGTAAAAATACTATAAATCATGATAATTGACAACATAAAATATGTTTTGAAAAAAAATACAAAAAATTCCACTGATTCTTGAAGTGAATCTATCGTAAAAATACTATAAATGATGATAATTGACAACATAAAATATTTCAAAGATGTTGTATGTAGGTAGTCTTATTATGCCTTAAATAGCGTCAAAGAAAGTACATGTTTGTGATAAAAAAACTTATTCCTTTATCCATGCAAACAATCGCTTCAAAAACTCGGTTATTAGCCCCAAAATATACCATTTATATTATTGGGCCCGTGCATAGCACGGGCAACATTATCTAGTATATATAAAAAAAGGACTTTCTCTTCAGTGGTTCAATAACACTGATTCAGAAAAAAAGGGAAAAAAATAAAAATAAAAAAAGCTACCTTTTTTTCTTCTTTTATCTTCTTCATCTTCCCTTCCATTCTCATCTCCCGCATTCACATTCAACTGAAAAACAAATATATATAGAGAGAAAAAGGAAAACAAAAACTGAAAAAGAAACCAACAAAACAGGAAAAAGACTTAATCTTTTCTCTGTATTTCATATTCTTTAACCGTATATTCGCATAAACTCTGATTGATCTTTAATGGATCTGTAGATCTAACGTTTATTGGCTACGTTTTATTGTCATTTTCACACTCTGTGGTTCAGTAATTGACCGGAAATTATACCATATAAGGCCTAAACATAACTGTGAGTCTTCTTTTTTTCTTCTTTATGTAGGAGAGAAATTGTTAAAGATGTGAACTCGGTATGGTTTTTATGTTCTCTGTGAGTTTTTACTGTTCTTTTGTTCATTTTGCACTTATGGTTTCACTGGGTTTTGGTTTTTACAATCTTTAAATTGACCCCTTTTTGTTTTAGACGGTAATGGGTTAGTTGGACTCTGCTTTTTTCCCTAAGTTGTTTTCAAATCTTGGGAGATTTTGTTCTTGCTGTTGAAATTGGGATTATGGGCTTTGTTTAAGCATACTGTCTTGTTTAAATCTTGGTGAAGTTATTATCCAGTTGAATCTCTTGTTGTATGGTTGTTTCCAATTTGCAGAACAAAGGGAGTAGTGGTGAAAGTTTTTAGTTTTGGAGAGCTGTTGCATCCGTTTGGATGTTGAGGAATTGGCGGTAAGCAAAGGTGAAATGAGGGATGTTATCAAGGTTGATAAATTTCTTGAAGGCATGCTGCCGGTCATCGGCGGATCTTTATGTACATAATGGTACAGATTCAGCTGGACGGCAAGATGGACTTTTTTGGTATAAGGACAGTGGACAACACTTACTTGGTGAGTTCTCTATGGCAGTTGTTCAGGCCAACAATTTGCTGGAGGATCAAAGCCAGATTGAGTCGGGTTCTTTGAGCTTGCTTGATTCTGGCCCATATGGAACGTTTGTTGGGGTATATGATGGTCATGGTGGGCCTGAAACATCGCGGTATATCAATGATCACCTCTTTCAGAATCTCAAGAGTAAGCATATTGGATTATTTTTTTTTGACTAAATTGCTAATCTGCCAACTGCCAAGTATTAAGTTGATTGGTAGTAATACAGGGCAGCTTGCCAGATAGTGTTTGTAGAATTAGTAGTTTGATAGCTTGATCTTGATTACACTGCAACTTAAATATTGCAGGGTTTGCAGCTGAACAAAATTCCATGTCTGTAGATGTAATACGAAAAGCGTTTCAAGCAACAGAGGAGGGATTCATTTCTCTAGTTGCTCAGCAGTGGCTAACGAAACCTCAGATGGCTTCTGTTGGAGCATGCTGTCTGGTTGGGGTGATCTGTGATGGGACCCTTTATGTTGCCAACCTTGGTGATTCCCGGGCTGTTTTGGGGAGACTTGTCAGGGCTACAGGAGAGGTTCTAGCCCTTCAGCTTTCAGCTGAGCATAATGCAAGTATTGAGTCTGTCAGACAGGAATTGCATTCTATGCATCCGGATGACCCACAGATAGTCGTTTTGAAGCATAATGTATGGCGTGTAAAGGGTCTGATACAGGTATGTTTTTGAGAATGGTAACAAGGCGTGCTCTAGACTCTAGTTTGCTAGTGTGTGGTCTCATCTGGCCTCTTAGTTAAATGCAAAAATCATTATTGCACTCGTATTCTATTCTCATTCATTTGCAGGTTGCCAAGTGTATACTGGCTTTTGTCTTAGTTTTTTACACTCCCTGAAGCTGAAGTGAATTAAAAGCCTGTGATTATTTCCCTAGTTGTGTCTGTCTTTTTGATACCCCAAATACCTTATCCTTCTGTTTTGGTTTGCTTAATGAGGGATGGATGGAGTATTAAACTTCCAATTGTATCCAACTGCATGGCTAGGTTTTTATCCTGTATTATGTGCTTTTATGTGCTTTGCCTGGATTCCTGTTTTTCTAATTAATTTGTTTCTTTACCTCGCAGAACATGTATTTACTGTTTTGAGAATGTTTTTAATCTTTTGTATATTAATCTATCAGATTTCGAGATCTATTGGCGATTTATATCTCAAAAATACTGAGTACAATAAAGAGCCATTGTATGCAAAATTTCGTTTGCGAGAACCTTTTACAAGGCCCATATTGAGTGCGGATCCGGCGATTTCAGTGCATGAACTCCAGCCACATGATCAATTTCTCATCCTTGCTTCTGACGGTCTTTGGGAACATCTTAGCAATCAAGAGGCCGTTGATATTGTCCAAAATAGCTCTCGCAAAGTATGATCCTTCACTTGAAAGCATAAAATATCTTATTCTTCTTTTAATTTCTTAAAATTATTTATATAATGTCATGGATTGAAAGTTGGTTTGATTTTCCTTAGGCAGTGCCTGTCTATATTTTAAGCACATTACAAACTGAAACCACGTAGCCTGGTAGTTCTTTCTTTGCTAATCACCGCATTATTGCACTGAAAGCTTTAATTATAATGTACTCCCCCCCTTTTGGTGATACACAGTTGCATTGCATCTAAAAAATACATCATGTTACATGGTATTCACTTATTAGTGTGCTGATTTAGAGAGCAGATTATTTCAGTAATAACATCTTGTAGTCACTTATTATATTGCTCGTATATAATGCGGTAAAAATGTTCCATGTCCTTGACATACCAGAAACAAATTGAACTCCTAATCTTAGATCCTCATCTATAGTCAATAAAAGGCAAAAATATATGTACCACGAGCACACCCATTTGATGAAAACATTAGTTTCCTTAACAAAAGCTATCAGATTAACGAACGACAATTACTTTGTGAAGTATGAAATATGGAAATAAGAAACTTCAAAGTTCATTGTTCGGATGCTTGAATGGAAGTGCAACGGGCTTATACTTCCTTTCGTGTATGTTGTTCAGTGTGTTGGCAGCATGAATATGGTTGAGGTTCATCTGAATGTTAATGGATTTCAATGTTGAGCTTATTAGGAAAGTAATTACATTTTCTATATTTCATTCTTCAGGGAAGTGCTCGGCGGCTTGTAAAAGCTGCACTGCAAGAAGCGGCAAAGAAAAGGGAGATGAGATATTCTGATCTGAAGAAGATTGATCGTGGTGTGAGGAGACATTTTCATGATGATATCTCGGTCATAGTCGTGTTTCTTGATTCAAATCTTGTGAGTAGAGCCAGCTCACTTAGAGGGCCCTCTGTATCTCTGAGAGGAGGTGGTATGAACTTCCCAGCAAAAAGTCTGGCTCCCACTCCCACATAACTTGGTACTGCTTTGTCTACTTTGCTGTATCCTTTCTGAAACTTCTTATGACAAGATCCTTTAGTAGATTAAAGAGAAATAACAGAAAGTGCGGCACTAATTTATTCTTTTGTTGTGCAATGTAATGTTTAACTTGGAACAGACGTCTTTATTAACTTGATTAGTAGGCAAGAAGATCAAATTTTCTTTCAGTATACTTTCTTTCTTGAGGATGAACTTCTCTGCTTATATTCTTTCAATTTTACTTGCTCACTTTTCTGTGGTAAATGTAAATGAACGCCACTCATTTTGAACCCACTAACGACAGTTTTTCCTGGAAATGGGTTCTTGACTGTTGATTTCAGACACTGTTTTCTAGTTCGGTTACCATTGGTCATGGATGGACGTTGATTTTTCGAGGATTTTATTTGTCTAATATCTCGAATTCTTGGCACCTAATATTTAGCCGTCAGGAATTCGCTGATAAGTTTATATTTGACAGTACCCCAATAACACCAGTGCTTGCTAGCATCTTCCAGAAGCAGCAGTGAATAATGGACCATGTACGTAATTGGCATTATTGGTTTGATTGACCAACAGTAGTATGTGGGGGACAGCTGAAAATTGACCATTTCTCTGTACTCCTGAACATTTCTCTGAATTCACAGGTCATCATTTGTCTATTTGATACACTTGTTGATTTTGATATTTCATGATTTAAGATGCTATTTCCTGATTATTGCTAACTGGAATAAGTTGTGATAACTTAACTAGTTTTATGCTAAAACTATCAACTCATTGCTACCCGAGCTTGAGACCAACAATGTGAGTAAGGCACATGTTACAGTAGCTGCTGATTGCAGTGTAATGACTAAGTTCTAGTAAGATGGGATAAATAAGATTTATATGACAATGAAACTCAAATATCAAAGTATGATCCCTTCCTTTTTTACTATTCTGCCAAATACAAAGAAGGTAGGTACCGTTTTTATAAACCTTTTAACCAAAGGTCTCGGGTTTGAGGCTTGAGAATGGAGAAACTCCCAATAGAGAGAACCTAAAATATGTTCTTTGCCGACTTACATTAATCAAACTTTAACTGATATTATATGTTAAGCCTATGCTCTTTGTTTCCACTTGTGCTTGTTTCCTCGGAAGTTCCTGTCAGTTCAAATGAGTCATCTTCAAAGCTTATACTATAGGTATCTAAGCATCTCAACTTTGCACTCCCAAAGGATAGGCCATCTATGTCCATGTAAAATTTCTGCAATCTAATGCCGTCTATGCTAACTGAGCTTTGAGAATAATCAAGTTGTTTCATTCTATGGCTTCCCCTTACGAGTGATCGGTTTGACAATTTGAAGGAACCATTTGAAGGTTGTTTATCTATGATATTTTCTGCAGAAAAGAAGGCAGTCTCCAGTTCTTGCCACACTTGAGTCATGGTAGGCCTTTCTTTGGGGACTTTGACCACACATTTCAGTCCTAGTTGTCCCATCTTCAGCATCATTTCCATGTTGCATTCCTCCATTAAGAGATTAGCATCTATTATTTCATCGATGCTTCCTCGTTCTAAGCTAGGTCTTGCCTGCATAACAAACAATGCAGGAAATTAGTTGAGAAAATGAAATTGTGCGAGGCAGACAACTTAGAATGTTTTGTACATTGCAACTATTACCCAATCTATAATGTGATAATTAGGATGACCTCTAGTTTTCTCAACTACAGGTCTAGCAGCAACAAGCTGCAGTAATATAACACCATAGCTGTAGACATCAGTAAACGGAGTCAACTGGAGAGACGTACAGTAGGCAGGGTCAAGGTACCCTGGTGTGCCCTTTATCTGACTGCTAACATGTGATTGATCCCCAATAGGACCTGATTTCACTAGCCCAAAATCTGAGACCTTGACTTCAAAATTTTCTCCTACTAAGATATTACTTGGTTTTATGTCCCGGTGAATTATACTTGGTCTGATTCCTTCATGCAGATGAGCTATCCCTGGGATAGCAAGTATTAGCGCATGTCAAAACTTAGTCCTCTCATCTTCTATTGATCAACCACATAACACACTGAAAAATTACCTTTAGCAGCTCCAATAGCTATCGTCACTCTCTGCCTCCATGTTAAGCTCCTTCCGCCCCTCCCTACAACAAGCATTTCCACAAAATGTTAAGCTTCAGAACTAAGCAAGAAATCATGACTCTGGAGTTGGAACTTTACCCATGATGTAGTCTAACAGAGAACCGTTTGGAACATACTCATACACCAGAATTTTTGCTCCCTTTGGACCTGTAGATGCATAAAACAACATGATGAACCTTATAATCTTTGACTGTAATATTAATGAAGTATGATGAATTTACCAGCTCCTTGGCAGAATCCCACCAAACTAACGAGATTTTTGTGCTTCACTTTCGAGACCAACCTGATCTCTGTATGCAGATAGCAGTTGTATCAATTAGTGCAAAATCTCAAGCGTCTAAACAGAAAGAGGTATGCTTGATTACCATTTTCAAACTCTTCAGTACTTGTGTATGATTCAGTATGCGCCTTCTTTATAGCTAGTGTTCCCTCCCCATCAAATGTCCCTCGATAGACATTTCCAAATGCACCAGAACCAACCAGACACTCTTGACTGAAATTATTAGTTGCCTTCTGTAATTGTTCCAACTGGAAGGGCTTCAACATCAGTTGTTCAGCTTTTAGAGTTCCTAATTACACCCAGAAAATGTCAGTAAAGCAAAAATTCAGGACAAGAAATAGTTTTTCAATGTTCCATGGCGAAGAAATAGTATCCCTTGAAGATTCACTAACCTCTTTGGTTCTCCGCTAACCTAAAGCATGCAAAAAGCTTTCTCTTGAAGCAGTAAAAAATTGAACAACCAAAAAATAGTATCAAAATTCCAGCTGATACTCCTCCCCATATGTGTTGCTGACTTTGAAAGAAACCTCTACTCATTTTTCTTTAAGTTAATCCCACATCTATTCTGCCATGCCTTAATTTTTCTTTGCATTCAACTGCTTTACTAAGTGAGCTAAAGCTAGAATAGGTAGGTCTGAAATACTTATTCAAAAGGATTTAGCATCTCTGCCGGCTAGCTATTCATTTGTTGTCTTTCCATGCCAATCCCAAGACTTGGTCAGTTATCCTTCTGTCCAAGCGGCACATATGGCCAAAGAGGAAATGAAAACATGTAGATATGCAGAAATATTCATATGAAAATGACTTCACAGTAAAAACCAGAGAATGTGATGTATTCATTTCATATTATATAAAGATATATATAACTAGGGAGAAGCTTCTAATTGCAATGAAATGGTGGTCATGTTTTCCATGATATTATATAGTTGTTGGCAGCATCAGACACTGTATTTAGGAAAGACATCACTGTCTGCTTTATCTTATTAGAAGTATTAAGATACCTGCAATAGTCCATCTACTGATAGCAATTTCCCTTATTATATTAGCAGCAAGACAAACACTGTCTTCATAATCAAATAGAGTATACTACTATAAAATTCATTGCAGAGCTGTACAATTAAGTCGCAAACAACTTGTAAACATTAAGAATTCAAGAACCAGGATCACCATCCTCTTGTCCTACCTTGATTCTCAAGAACAAAAAGATCGAATCTACGTTCAATTGAACAAGTACAACAACTATGTTCTTTTGGGTTATGTGTAAGTTCATACCATATTATTGTTATAGGAACAACAGAACAAGTCATACCATATTGTCTTCTTTCTTGATAGTACAATTATTGCATCAAAATGATCTCGAACGTTTATGAATCCATATACAAATTAATCAAGAACACTCAAAACTTTTACTTTTACACAACTGGAAAAAAACTCAACCAAAATTAAGCTATACATTAAATAGAGCTCTATCTTGTAGCAAAGTTTCTGCTGCTATTTTCCCAGAAACTAAAGCTCCATCAAAAGTAGCACTAGTCACATAATCTCCACAAATGTACAAGCCCGGTTTTATTATCGGGTTCTTCTTCAAGTTAGTGGGTGGGCATTGGTTCGGTTGGGCAAACCCAATCCTGTACATCCTCAAGTAACTCCATGACCCAACTACCGACTCCCCAAACCAACCCGATAGCTCCTTCACGACCTGATCCACCAAATCCTCATCTGCCACGTCACCATAAATCCCCACAAGCGTGGCAGAAACCAGTGCCTTCCCTACCGGAGCATAAGAGGGAGCCACATTGGTCGCGAAGAACATGTTATTGACAATTCCTTTACCCGACCCGTTAAGAAGAAGAACCGGATCCTGCACCGGAACTTTGCCTTGGTCAGCTGAAAAATACAAACATACTGTGCTCCGAACCGGTTGCCGAACCTCACCGGTTTTTTCTCCCGCCAATAACTTGACAGCTTCAGGCTCTTCAACTGCCAATATTACCCCAAATTCACTTTCCAACATTTCTCCATTTTGTAATGTCACTCTTATTTTTGTGCTGGAATCCGATCCTGAATCAATGGAAACAACTCGTGTATTGAACAATATTGAATTCGACGGCAATTTTGCCGCCAATTGTTCCGGAATGGCGGCAATGCCCTTCGCCGGAAGTGTGTTGTCACCAAGAGCTAGGCATTTGAAGATGAAATTAAACAGCCGCGATGTTGTTTCAAGCTCTCTATCGAAGAAAATTCCACCAAAAAACGGTCGAAAGAACCTTTCCAATATTGCATCAGAAAACCCGATCTTCTTCAATAAATCGATCGTAGGAACTTCTTCAGCACTCAATATTTCATCATCTCCTTGCGTCAAAACTTTCAATCTAGTCAATCCGATAAGTAATTTATCCACAACTGAACCAATTGGGTTGGTTAAAGATTGCAGAGCATCGGCGAAATGCCGGAGAGGATCAGCAACGGTGTGGAAACGACCACCATAGTAAACCTGCGCCCCCGAATAGAATTTTCTGAGGTCTAAAGAGTCATAATCAAGGATTTTTCGGGCTTCAGGGTAACCAGTAATGAAAATCTGGAAACCACGATCAAGGGTATATCCGTCAACTACATCAGAGCGAACACGGCCGCCGACGGCATCAGAAGATTCGAGAAGGAGAAATGGGATGTTGTCGGCTTGAAGCCGAATGGCAGCTGCTAAGCCAGCTAAACCGCCGCCGATGACAATGACCCCGGTGGTATTAGGCTGAGAGGTTGAGTCAACGGATATATTTGAGGAAGCATACGGCGGTTTTAGTAGTGGGAAGCCGCGGCGCGTGGAGAGGAGAAGAGTTTGGGAAGGGAGAGGGAGAGTGGCGGGAAGGCAGAGACACGGCGGCATTTAGGATTAACGGAAACGGGAACGACAGTATCTAATGTGGATTTCGTTAGTTACAAGCTATCCATTTGGTGGGGCCGAATTCTGTGGTGGAAGGCGTAGATAAGTTATCCAGTTCCTTATTTCTACATTTTTTTAATTTATTTTTGGTGACCCAAGAAAAGAATGATCTCCGAAATTTAATCGCAATTGTAAAAATTGGAACATTATCCTGTACTGCTGTACTTTAATTTTACTGTTACATTTTAGACAAACAATAATCGAACTCCCGTAAATATTTTTCTAAAAGTCAATTTTTTTTTTGTGTTTGATACTTTGATTGGTAAAAAATTATGAAAATGATTTCTTGAAAGCGAGAAAAACAACTTTTCATTTCATTTAATTTGTACTATGTTTCAGTTTTTTTGGTTTTTCCATCAAGCTACAAGAAAAATTGAAAAGGTTTTCTTTCAACGTGTTTTATTAAATAAACACTTTTGGGAAGGAAAAATGTTTTATTTTTTGGTTGAAACTCGTAAAGTAACGCCTGCATTGACCAGTGAGGGGGTCAAAGTTTTTATTTCAATATGCACAAATTCAACGTCATATTTATTTGGTCCATTTGAAAATTGAATGAAGCGTGTTTGATGTAGAAATATATTGGCATTTGTTCGTTTTATTTTGTGGCAAGTGTCTTTGAACAAGCATTCTTTGACCTGCTCAAATTCATAAAATTGAACTTGGATGTTTCAATCTACATAATTTTTAATGGGGCCTGTCAGCTCAAACCTTATTGATTTGGAAACATTTAAATGGCTCAAAATGGTGTCCCACGAACAATAAAAGACTTGCTGAAAAATATTTATGGGCAGATATTATAAAACTGACTAGGCTTGGAAGATTCAGCTCCATTTGTTCAAGCGTAAAACGTTTTCATTTCATAATTTTCTGCCTTTTAACTTTCCCGTACGCAAGAATCTCCTATCAATACAAAAATGTTACCATTACTCGTGGTGCCAATCACAATACTGATTTGAATTTTTCAAACATTAATAAACGCACCATACCCAACTTTTGAACCTAATTGGTGTGACAACTAGTCACATCGTCATCATGCCACTTAGGCGCCATTTGGAGTTGCTTTTGCCATGCAAGAAGGTTATGTGTGCAAGGAAGCCGGTACTTATGAGAAGGTTATAGAGAAGATTTCACTTAAAAGACCAAAGATTTATGGATTTGCATGAAAAGTCCTTGAAACTCTCTAGGCTCATAGAGAACCATCTTTATATTGTAAAAATATGAAGGATTTGTACACATATTATCTGCACATTAGCTCCTTGAGATTGGTACATAAAGGACTCATTCATTTGTAAGCAAATCATTCAAGTCTTGAGAAATATAAAAGCTTTCATTTGGCAATTTTCTCGTCTCACCTATCTAACGTTTCTTTTGCAATCTTGAGTGTAATAAGACTCGAATAATTGGTAAAACAAGAAGTGAGAGCAAGTTGTCAAGTGTCGCATTGTGGGGTTGTCAAGCAAATAGAATGAGGCAACCTACCGATTTAAGTCAAGCATCCTACCTAAAAACAAAGAAAGTGTAAAGAACAGGGAGAACTTGCAGCAATCCTCTAATGCAAAGCAGTTCCAAAAGTCAAGTAAAGGTACATTATAACTAACATTTATAATGCTGCAAAAGTCAAGGAAAGTGCATAACTAACAATTGTTGATGAATTCAACCATTGGCACCGGCAGGCCAAAAAAAAAATCTCATCTACTGGTTACAAGGCCTGCCTAGTAGAAGCGTAGACAAAAATAATATTATTATTTAACAGCAAGTACCAACTTTAGGTATGACTTTATGCATCAGGTGTGAGTTGAAACATCAGCAGCAGATTGGTTGGTGCATGAACATAAAAATAATACCTTGTATATTCATCCACTTCTCAAGTATATTCATTTCATTACTCAAATAATGTGTTGGCTATACAGAGCACCTCAAAGTAATTTATTACAGGCATAGGCCAAGTACTTTCTTGAAAGCACCTTGTCTACAACAACAAACCCAAGTGCAATCCCGCAAGTAGGGTCCGGGGAGGGTAGGATATAGGCAGACCTTACCCCTACCTTCATGGGGTAGAGAGGTTGTTTCCAATAGACAACTCTGCTCAAAAGAATGAAGCACCTTGGCTAAGAGGAGAATTTCAAAAGTCTTGTTATGTTAATTAGGATCAAGGTAGACGTTATCTTGCACAAGGCAATTGCAAAACAAAAGGCACACCAATACAAAGTGCTATTTTGTGGAAGTAGAGTACACTAAGATTGCTCAAAATTGTATACATGGTGGTAAACAACTACAACGATCAAGCTCAAAGGAGCCCAACTCTAATTTACATTATATTTTCAGGAAAATTGGTACAAGCGAGGACAAAGAAATAGAGAAATCCTACAGCCAAGTATGAGGAAATAAAATAACCGCGTTATAATTTACAGAGTACAGTCACCTACAGATCCCTTCTGCACAATGGACAAGATCCATGTCTCAACAGCCATGTATCGATGCACGGAAGGTGAAACATGTGATGACATTGTGGTAAACATCTAGCAGTCTCTCCACGTTGAAAGTCCTGGGAAAGATAGAAACAGAGAACGGCGTTCAGAATCAATTAAGTAATTCAATAACAGACAATAGAATAGCAAAACAAAAGGTATAAATGTGTCTTACCTGTAGGCAGACTGAACAGGAGACTCTCTCTCCAGAATCATCCACATCATTATCATTAGTAATTACAATCTTAGGTATCTTTTCAACAGAATCTCCAGGTAAACCCTTTGCCCCGCCTACATCGAAAATGTTAGGGAACTCGTCGTATGCAGTATCAATGGCTCCCATCTGTCCAACAATAAGAGAGTGTTACAAATGAAGTTTCAAGCAGAATTCCACAATTCAACCAATTAGGCTGCA